GACACATTTATCACACTGGCACTATTCCCATGGCAACTGGCTGTGATAGCAGACTGACAGCTCTTTAGTGAGATCAAGGAGTGAAGGGGGAGCGAGTGCTGACTTTGAGTTTTCTCTTAAAGCTCCCTGAAGCCTAAGCAGATGCATGCGGGAAGGAAAATTCCCTAGAAATATCACACTTGACAACTCGGTTCCCACTTGTAATTTGTTGCTGCTCTCGGGGGACCTTATGTCCTCCCCCAGATATAACCAAGGCTTGCTCCCCAGACGGCAGAACACAGCTCTAGAAGGCAGAGGAAATTGCTTCTAGGAGGGACCCACATGCTGCCTTGTCAGGTCGAGAGGGCATTTTGGGGATCCCTAGATCACTCCAAGCCCAGAGGTGACCCAGCAAAAATGATCCAGTTTGATCAAAGCCTTAAAACAAGAATGATAAAGTACTTGCCTTGCCAACATCAGGACCCAAGTGCCATCTTCAAGATCCCCTTTGGTTTTTTTTTGGGGGGGGTGTTCAGACAGGGTATCTCTGTGTAGCTTTAGAACCTATCTTGGAACTCACTCGTAGACCAGGCTGGCCTTGAACTCACAGAAATCTGTCTGCCTCTGACTCCTTAGGGCTGGGATTAAAGGCATGCCTCACCACAATCTGGCCAGGGTTCACATTTTTAAAAAGGCCAGATGTAGTGCACACACTTGTAACCCCACGCTCAGAGACTGGACACAGGCAGGTTTCCAGAGCTCACTGGCTGGCTGGTGTGTGATCTCCTCCATATACACCTACGAACATGAACTGTGTACCTTTAATATGGCTATGTATGTGTGCATGTGTGTCTGAGTGAGTATGTACATGTGTGGGTGGGTGTGGCCAGAAAGACTGAAGCTGGAGCTACAGGCAGCTGTGAGCCACCCTGTGTGAGCACTAGGAAGCAGGTTTGTCTTCTGGAAGAGTGTCAGTGCACGTAACTGCTGAGTCATCTCTCCAGCTCCACACACAGGTTTTACATGATGATGACATCACACAACATATCCTTCATCCGTGGGATAAACACCCACATCAGCGTTTCAGACGGGAACATGAAAGGGAACCCTACCGCCCTTCAGAATGGGAACCTGAGCAGGTCTGCTCCTGTAGACTTGGAAGATCCGACAGAAAGTGGTCCCTGACTACAGAGCCTGGGAAGCCAGTGCTCTGGGCAGATGAGCATGAGAAAGTCCTTTCCCACACTATAACCTCCCCAAGGCTCGCCAGTTTTACTTATGACTGCCAATCTTGTAACAACTGCTGCTTGCTCAAGGTCTCCCAGATGGACACACTGGATAGAAGCAGGTTCTGAGCCCCAGTCTTGGGGGCCAGGGTGTAACTCTAGGTTCTTGGCTCTGCTGTGCATACAGCATCTACTGCAGCATGCATTTGTTGCCTAACAATAGCATGGAAGCATTTTTTGACATGCTAACTGTTCCTTCAATCTGTATAGGTTTTCATCTATCTTTTCTGTATTAACTATAAGGTTGTTTGCATGTATGTCTATGTTGTATGTGTATATACATATGTGTGTGTGCATGTGTCTCTTTGTGTGTATGCATGTGTGTGTGTGTGTATGTATGTGGAGATCAGAATTTGATATAATAAATCTTCCTTGGTTGTTTTCCACCTTGTTTTTATCTTTAAATTAAATTAATTCTTTCAATTGTGCATACGTGCACGTGCTCAGTGATCATGGAAGTATGAAGAAGGTATAAGAGCTTGAGTTATAGGAAGTGGTAAGCCCAACATGGGTGCAAGAGACAGGATCTCACTGAACCTGGAGCTCATTGGCTGGTTAGCCTGGCAGGCCAGTGAGCCCTAGGGATCCTCCTGTGTCCACCTCCCCAGCACTGAGATAACAGAAGTGGGGCCACCATACTTTGCTGGTTTTGTTGTTTTCTGTCCTCCCTCCCTCCCCCCTTTCTCTTGTCCTTCCTTCCTATTTTAAAGTGAGTGCTAGGAACTGAGCTTGGGTTTTTACCCAACAAACACTTTACCCATCACCTCTCCGAGTCCTGAAGAGCTCTTCAGTCAGGCTAGCAGCCTTTCGTGTGTCGTGTAACATACCTAACACACGTACTCATGGTTTGCCACTTTACCTTCAGGGCTGAGTCTCATTTAGGGTTTACACTGCTGTGATGAAGACTGTGACCATAAGCAAACTGGGGAGAGAAGGGGTTATTTCGGCTTATAGTTTCACATCACAGCCCATCATGAGGGAAGCCACGGCAGGAACGCCAGCAGGGCAGGAACCGGAGCCAAGAGCTGAAGCAGACACCAAGGAGGAGTGCTGCCTACTGGCTTACTCTGTCTGCTCTCTCCAGCACCCAGGACCAGCAGTCGGGGGTGACACCATTCACACCGAGCTGGGCCTCCCACATTAGCTATCCGTTAAGAAAATGCATCACAAGCTTGCCCACACCAGCCTGCTGAGGGTGCTTTCTCACTTGAGGCTCTTGCTTCACCGAATGATTTTAACTGCATGTCAAGTTGACATAAAACTAGCTGGCACGGTCTCTTTGCTCTTCCCCTCGGCAGCCTCTCTGTAAGGTTGTGAACTAGTGTTCTTATTTGATGACAATGGCTCAACTGGTGAAGACACTGCTGCCAATCCTGCAGTCCTAAGCTCCACTTCCTGGGACCCACGTGGTGGGCGGGGAGAGCCAACTTTCACAGGCTGTCCTCTGACCTCCATGTGCTCACCACAGTACATATCATTAGGTCCCACACATCATACAAAGATGCAGACAAAAAGTAAGTATAAAAGTCTTTTCGAGACAGGGTCTCACTATGTAGCTCTGGCTGTCCTGAAACTCACTCTGTAGACCAGGCTGGTCACCAACTCACAGAGATCTACCTGCTTCTGCCTCCCAAGTGTTTGAATTAAAGGCGTGTGTCACCACACCCAGAAAGTAAAAATACTTTAAATTTACTTTTATATTTTAACAATTCATCTCAAATTTCTTGTTAAATAGAGACAGAGTTAGAGATTTGAAATATTTTTCCTAGAAACTCATATAGTTTTTGGCTAATTAATTTCTTCCCTGTTTATTGCAAGATAAAAACTTTATTACCTCATAGTCTTGTTATAGTTTGCATTGAATTTTACACTGTTTGACTGAGTTACCTGTCCAGTCCCACATCAATACCAGTCTATAATGTTCATTTCAGTGCAGGCTTTCAAAGCCAGCCAGGCTTCCTCACATTCTAGAAGTCTCAACCAGGCAAGTGCCACCTGCTTTAAGAGCAGCATTTGACACAACAAGCGTCAAGTTAAAAAATAATTTCTCACTGACATAAAAAAAAAAAACATTCAATACCTATTTGAAGGGTGACTTTTTTCCAAATAACAAAAGACATTCATTTACAGACAGGCTCTCAGCAGACAATCCAGATTGGTCTGGCACTTGCTATGTAACCCAGGATGACCTGAAATACATGACTCCCAGCCTCAGCCTCCCTGTGCCAGGATTAAAGGCATGCACCACCAAATCCAGAAAGATGTCATTGTAATTGTCCCAAATATGATTTTACTTCCAGAGAACTTGATCATGGAGAAAGTTACAGAAAATAATATAAGTATCAGAGAATACAATTCCTGTGCACAATTCACAAAGACAGAAAAATGTTTTTGAATTTCAAGTAACAATAAATCTACTGTATTCATAATACGAACAGGCACTAATTGTAGCAAATTGTGTAGATTTTAACAAAGAGATCACGTTTACGATTTCATAACCCGCCAGTTATTTATGTGTGTGTGTGTGTGTGTGTGTGTGTGTGTGTGTGTGCATATGCAAGTCTACATAGATGCAAGAGTCTGTGTGTGCAGAGGCCAAAAGAGGACGTCAGTGGTCCTGATTACCATCTTACTCCCTTGAGGCAGTGTCTCTCCCCAAACCTGAGGCTAAGCTGGCAGTCAGCAAGCCCTAGAGACCGTCCTAGCTCCAGCCCCCACTCTGCTGTGGTTACGGGTACACACATGGCCACACTCAGTATTTTTTTACAGGGGTGCTGGGGATCAAATTCAGGTTCTCATGCTTGCACAGCAAGCTCGCCTACCTACTGAGCAATCTCCCCAGCCCCTTGACTTATTATTTTAAATCCTATTTCAAGGGAAGGGTCACTGTCAGGAATTCACAGAAACTAACTGAATCCTTTAAAGGTAAAGGATTAAATCCTTTAAATGTGGCGGAAGTGACTTAACAGAAACAGCAGTCCAAAACAACAACAAAACCGTATGGCTCCAGTGTGGCCCTCGCTGCCCACGCCTCTTACCCCTGTACCCGGGGACTTCTGGAGGAAGCGGGCACTGGGACGCTATCCTGCTGTCTAACCACAGAGGTGTATCCCAGGCAGCGTGTGCCCTCTGCTCGAACTCCTGCTCATATTCACGCACGTACTGAAGGCGTAAGTAGAAGAACACTGACACCTAATGGCCAGGAGATGGGCCACACAGCACTTCTCTCACCTATGGCCAGGAGATGGGCCACACAGCACTTCTCTCAAACAGAACTGAACGCACATTCTAGGTCGAAAGGCTAAATCAGGTAATTTTCCCACTGTACACACCAGGCTTATAGTTAAAATTCCACAGCTTGACGCACTGAGAGTCTTGAGTGAGTATCAGAAGCTGCACTGCGTGTTGTACAAACAACATCTCATTTCATTATTCTACATTAGTTCCACTAGGTCCATTTCTCTCCAACAGCGCCGATGACAGTCGGCAGTTACTGTACTAATAGCCTGTCAATCATTTAAAACGACCCTCACCAGAGTCCCGAGCGAACCCGAAAAGAACCATTTGCGTCCTGCGCACATGCAGACGAATTGCGGTGCCCTCGGTCAAACGATCAGAACGCAGCTTTCTCAGCACGGGGGCGGGGGGACTGCCTTGGGAGGATTTCCAGATACTATCATCCTCACACACAGGCCAGGAGGCCCAGGGCCCTCCCTCCACCCCAGCCCGTCTCACCTACTCCCGAGTCCTTCAGCGTTCTGTCTTCCTTCAGTAGGAGTGTGTCGTCGTCCTCCAAGCCCAACACCAGCTCATTTGTCTAGAGAGAAAGAATCCCCACTTGGTCAGCACACTTGGCCAAGATGTCCTGAAGACCCGAGAGTGGTACTCGGAGGAGCTGAGAAACAGCTCAGTCAGCAAAGTGTTCACCCCGCAGGTACGAAGACCTGCATTTGAAACCCCATGCCTTGTAATCCCAGTGATGGGGAGGTGGAGACAGGAGGATCCCTGGAGCTCACTGGACAGCCAACCTAATCAAACAGCAAGTCCCTGGTGCAAAGAAAGACTATCTCAAAAAGGCATGTGGATGGGACTGGAGAGATGGCCCAGGAGTTAGAGCTTGCTGCGCTATCATGAATACTGGAGTTTAGGTCCCAGCACCACGTCAGGCAGCTCACAAAAGCAGTAACTCCAGCTCCAACGGATCCAAGACTCTCTTCTGGACTCCACAGCCACCCTCCCGCACACGCACATGGACACACACAAATAACAAAGAAAGCAAGATTTTAAAAAGTAAAGTGGGGGGGGGCTGGTGAGATGGCTCAGTGGTTAAGAGCACTGACTGCTCCTCCAGAGGACCTGGGTTCAAGTCCCAGCACCCACATGGCAGCTCACAGCTGTCTGTAAATCCAGTTCAAGAGAATCTGACATCATTATACCAATGTGCATGAAATAAAGTTAAATAAAGTTTAAAAAAAAAGTAAAGTGGACAACAATCGACGAAGACATCCAACACCAACTTCTAGCTTCCATATTGCACGCACCCAGCATGTACATGTGTACACACCCATGAACATGCACATACCACACACATATATACACACACACTAATCTAAGCCATGTGACATTCTACTGTGGTAAGGAGACAACAGAGAAGATGCAGAATATAGCCCTACTAAGTGCCAACACTGTAAGCTACACTGCAGACAGCGCTACAAACAGGCTTTGGAAACAAGCTGGGGTTCTAACACAGGGTCCCTGGGTGCCCCGCTTTGTGCACTCAACACTGTAAACTTCTCTAAGCTTCAGTTACCTTGCAGCCACAGAAGGGAAAGTGAGTGCAGCTTCCCCTTTTCCTAGTGTTAAGGAGGATGTGCCCGTCCAGACCCTCAGTACTGAGTAAGCTCTCTATGTCTGCTGTCACCATGTTGCAAGAACCTGTGAAGAATTGCAAAAATGCAGGCCCGGGGCATGTGGCTCATCAGAGATGGAACTGAAGACACATTCTTGACAATGTGACATCTGAGAGAAGCAGACGTGGCCTTAAGTGGCCCCAAGGGCACATATCTAAAACCCATGCCCAAGCTGACAAGGATTTCAGCCTGTGTCTCATTTGCTGTCGAATTTCCAAGTGATTTGGAGAGGTGGCGGGCTCTGTTCTCCAGTGATATCTGCAAATCTGGATGGACATCACTAGAGATGATCTGGAGTTGTTGTCTCCCCTGACTGACACCTGGAAGTTACTACAGATGGGGCACACAGTACTCCAGCCAATCAGAATTCAGCTGTTTAGTAGTCTACTGTAGTTCCACGGATGTGTGTGCATGTGAGTGCATGGGTACGTGTGTAATGGAGGCCAGGAGTCCGTGTTGGGGGGCTTGCTCAATCTCTACTCCACGGTATTTTTTTTGCAGCAGGGTCTCTGGTAGTTTGAAAGGAAATAGCCCCCAAATGGGAGTGGCACCATTAGGAGGTGTGGCTTTGCTGGAGTGGGTGTGGCCTTGTTGGAGGAAGTGTGTCACTGCGGGAGCAGGTTTGTGCTCAGTTCACTTCCTCGCCAGCACCACGTCTGCCTGCACACTGCCACGTCCCACCATGATGGCAATGGGCTGAGAATGGCCGTGGTCATGGTGTCTCTTCACAGCAGTAGAGACCCTAAGACAAGGTCTGTCACTGAACCTAGAACTCACTGATCAGCTGGACTAGCTGGCATGAGCCCTGGGGAGCTGCCTATCTCTGCCTCCCCAGTGCTGACTACAGTGCTTGTCACCACACCTAGCTTTTTACGTGAGATCTGGGGACCTGAGCCCCAGTCCTCATGCTCGCCAGGCAAACACTTTACTGATGCAAGCACGGCCCAAGCCCAGTCTGCCCTATTTCTAGACTCTATGTGAGACAGACTCAAAAGAAAGGTTTCTCCACTGCCCAACAGAAGCCCCACAAGCCAGAGGCCATGTTCCACGGATCATGAACTTCACTCAGTACCGACAGAGGGACCTGAACTCCAGAATACAATCATTGAAAAAAATTCAATGCTTCTTTTTAGAACACAGAATCGAAATACAAAATTCTCCAAGAAGATAAAGAATGAAAATTGCAAAATCTCCTACCCCTGTGCCCCAGCTACTGAGCTGTCCTCTGCAGAAACTACACCTGGCCATGTGTGCTTCCTGACACCATCGATGTATGTCACACATGTGGAGATGTGCAAACACAAATGTACCATGTGCTGTCTTCCAAAGTCTTACTTTTTTTCTCTCTCTTAAAAATATGGCTGTAGGGCAGGAGAAATGGCTCCCTGTGTAAGAGCATTTTCTGTGCAAGCGTGAGGACTCAAGTTCAAATCCCCAGTGCCTTCGAAAACCTGAGGGGGCCTGTGACTTCAGCACTATATGGAGGGTAGAGAGGAGTTGCTGGGGCTTACTGGCTGCCAGCTGAATTCTAGGCTCCATGAGAGACCCTGTGTCAAGGGAGTGTGGTGGAGAGGGACAGAGCAGGACACCCAACACCCTCCGCTGGTTACTGCACACACACATACATACATATGCACACAGGGGTGCTGAGCTCCAGCATCCGTGGCTCTGCTTATTATAAATGCCATGGTTCCCCTCCATTTAGGATTATGTCCTAAAGCACAAGATATAAGATAATAAAGAAATAAATAACTCTCTCTCTTAAGCCACTTTTGTCAGGTATTCTGCCACAGCAGAGAGAAAAGTAACTAATTAAACATAAAACAAAACCATACCTTGCCTTCCCTACTGAAGTCAGAATGAAAACACTCCACGGATGAAGCCTGTGGGCAGACTGTGGTGGAGCATCCTGGTACCCATAAAAGGAACAGGTGCCACACTACAGCCTCAGACTTCAATGTGTCAGCCCAATATTTTATGATATTGTCAAATTTTCAAATGCAATAAATGTCACTAAGTCCCTAACCTGAAACCGACCGACACTCTCAGCCACTTGTTCTGTGTCATCTGGGACACATTCATCTGAAAGCTTGAGTTTACAACTGTGCCAACGACTTGAAACAAGAATAAAAAGAAATCAATTCATCAATAAATACTTCACTCAAAACTTGTTAGGGAGAGCCTGTGAAACAGCTCAGAAGTAAAGGCACCTGAGGCCCAGCCTGAAGACCTAGATCTTGTAGCCAACATGACAGGAGGAGAGAACAGACTCCTGGGAGTTGCCCTCTGACCTTCACACATGCACCACAGCATGCACACACACACCCCACATGTAATAAATAAATGAAATGCAATCAAGATTTCAAAAGTTATAACAATTCCTATGACTGAGACATTACACTAGGTGCTAAGATATGAAGAGGCATGAATAAAAAGGTATAATCCCTCAGGGCTGGGACATGCTCCAGTCAGTAAAGTGTCTGCCACACAAGTGTGAGGACCTGAGTTCAAAAGCTGGCCATGATGGTGCAATCCCGGTGTTGGCAACGTGTAGAAAAGATAGGGATAAACCAGCCAGGGTAGCTAAATAATAAGACCCAGGTTCAATGAGAGATCCTGTCTAAAAGATAAGGTTGGAGCCAGGCATGGTGGCATATGTCTTAAATTCCAGCCTCTCGAGGCACAGGTAGGCAGATCTCAGTGAGTTTGAGACCAGCCTGGTCTACATAGCATAGTGAGTTCCAGGCCATGCAGGCCTACATACGGAGAGCAACTGAGGAAGTCATTCAGTGTTGACCTCTGGTCTTTATAAACATGAGCACACCTGTCTCCATACACACATGTACAGAGAGATGCAGAGGTACACACAAACACACACATAACACACAAGTGTGTCCCTTATCCTTGAGCAGTTATGTAAGAGTGAGCTCACATTTTCAGTGAGGAGTCTATGGAAGGCCATGGAGGCTTAGGAGAAAAGACACTCCCATCCTGTCTGAGAAGGACACCTTTGGGGGCAGCATCATCCAAACTTCACATGTATTCAAGAACATATGAACGAAAGCACAGAACACATAAACACGTAGCTCTCTTAAGGTCAGGGACACCTTGGAAGTGTGGGCTGTGCCTCTGTGGAAGTATCCACCAAGGCTCTTGTGGCCTGAGCCCATGCACAGAGCACCAGTGTTTGCTTCTGGGCCTTTGTTTCTGGTACAGAATTAGAAAGAGATTAGGTTTCCAGATGCCAAGTGGATTCTTTAGACAAGCTGGTCTTTACCACATCCTGTGCCTATTCTAGATAAATGTGTGGGAGGTTTTTGTTGTTGTTTTTTTTAATTTTGTTTTATTTTGTTTTTTTGAGAACAACGGTCCTAGAACTTGCTGGTGCTGTGGGGCGATCTTTCTGTACACTATAAAGATGTGCCCTGCCTCTGATGCGGGAGAATTGTCTGTATTCTGTCAATCATATTTTAATAAAACGCTGATTGGCCAGGCAGGCAGTATAGGTGGGAAAACCAGACAGGAAGTAGAGGTGATGCAATGAGAACAGGAGAATTCTGGGAAGCAAGGAGGTTCCTCTGTCACTCCTGCACAGACCACCGAAGAGGCAGCATGTAACGTGCCCAGCTGAGAAAGGTATGGAGCCATTATGGCTAACATAGATGAGAATAATGGGTTAATATAAGTTATAAGAGTTAACAAGAAGCCTGACCGAATGAGCCAATCAGTTTATAATCTTATGGAGTCTTGTGCGTGATTTTCTTTGGGGCCTGCCTGCTGTGGGGTACTGGGCGGGACAGATACCCCAACAAGCCGGCCCCACATATTACAGATGGCGCCAACGTGGATAACTGAATCCACAGAAAGCTTGAGAAAGTTTGGGAAAGAATAGAGTGAAGCATGTTTTCTTGGTGGCAATTTCTCAGGTCTGAGCAATTTCTCAGGTCTGCTCTGCTTGCTAGAGGCAAGCAATGCTCTCATTTAAGAGAGGCTTCCTGACTCAGCTTTAGCTGCAAAACTTTGTAGCTCATTAAGGGGTCCTGCCGCCAAACACTTAAATGGTATTGATGAAAAGCTGAACGCATGCTTTTCGGTTTTCAGTCGTAGCAGGAAAAACGCTGCGCTGTTTTAAAATGCCAGTTTTCTGGGCCGTCCTGCCAGGGCAAACTCTGACTCTTTCAGGCAGGCAGTCCGACTGAGTGTGGTCTGTGAGCAGAATGCTGCAGCTTGCTTGCTGGCAAGGACCTTGAAACGCCATAGAGTTGTGGCAGTGAACACAGCTGTGGCTGGTATCTCAGCTATGAGTCTGGAAAGCTAAGGAATGAGCTGGATCTAGCTGTCAAAGCCATGGCTTTCCATATTGCTTTGTAAATTAAAGGCTCATGTGGTCAGAAAAAGAGAGATAAACAGTAACGAGAGATTCAAAGAGGAAGAAAACCTCTAAATGGTTTACAGTGTGTATATGCAGGCTAAAAGTTAAAGTTCTTAAAGTTAAAAGGAAAGAAAGAGAGTAGTTGGGTGTGGTGGTACACACCTTTAATCCCAATGCCTGGGAGGCAGAGGCATATTGACCTCTGTGACTTCAAGGGGTAGAGGTAGATTGACCTCTGTGACCTCAAGGTGTGGTAGTACACGCCTTTAATCCCAATGCCTGGGAGGCAGAGACAGATCTCTGAGTTCAAGGTGTGGTAGCATACACCTTTAATCCCAGCACTGGGGAGGCAGAGACAGGAGGATCTCTGAGTTCAAAGATAGCCTGGTCTACAGTGTTATTCCAGGACAAAGATATACAAAGATCCTGTCTCAAAAAGTAAAAGTAAAAATAAAAGAAATAGAGGTTAAAATAAAGCCACATAAAGATGGAAAATGCACAGAGAATCTTCATACTGTATGCTTTTATGCTCTCTTTAAATTGTTTGATTGCTGAGGAAGGAGCAACAACTGCTAAAAGACTTTTGTTTATAAATGCTGCTGAACTAACCCAAGATAGGAATTTTGAAAATACCTTGGCTTCAAAACTGAAGTCAAAAGGTATGTTACTTTGGAGAAGAGATTTTGCTTTTGTTTCCACAGAAAACGAGAGACTCTGGATTTATTCAGAGTTAAGAATAATCACCTTTGACCAAGGGAGGCCACCTGAAAAATCTCCGATAGGAACAGATGGCCCAGATGTCTGAGTTCTACATCCAGAACAGATTCAAGACTACTGCCTGAGATGATCGAGACTCACAGGATACTCCAGTCATGACTTGATTATAACTCTAAATTTTCTTTAGGTCCCCTTAAGACTATCAGCGCCCCCAACCAGCAGGAAGTAGCCTGAAATACTACGCCCACATTCCCAACAAATGGACTGTGGGTATTTTCCTTTGTTAAAAAAAAAAAAGAGGGAAATGATGCGGGAGAATTGTCTGTATTCTGTCAATCATATTTTAATAAAACGCTGATTGGCCAGGCAGGCAGTATAGGTGGGAAAACCAGACAGGAAGTAGAGGTGATGCAATGAGAACAGGAGAATTCTGGGAAGCAAGGAGGTTCCTCTGTCACTCCTGCACAGACCACCGAAGAGGCAGCATGTAACGTGCCCAGCTGAGAAAGGTATGGAGCCATTATGGCTAACATAGATGAGAATAATGGGTTAATATAAGTTATAAGAGTTAACAAGAAGCCTGACCGAATGAGCCAATCAGTTTATAATCTTATGGAGTCTTGTGCGTGATTTTCTTTGGGGCCTGCCTGCTGTGGGGTACTGGGCGGGACAGATACCCCAACAAGCCGGCCCCACATATTACATGCCTCTGGTGCCTTCTGATTGATTTAATAAAGAGCTGACTGGAGAGAGCTAGGTAGGAGAGATTAGGCAGGGCTTCTAGGAACAGGGAGGAGCACTGGATGAATCTAGGCACACAAGAGACACCAGCAAGACACGGAGAGTAAGACACACACGTGGCAGAAGATTGATGAATAGAAACACGGTAATTTAAGTTATAGAGCTAGGTGGGAATAAACCTAAACTAAAGGCCAAGCTTTTATAATTAATAATAAGTCTCTGTGTCATTATTGGGGAGTTGGCAGTCCCAAAGAAAGTCTGACAAGAAAGTTTGCTACAGGCTGGCCTTGAACTCACTGAGATCCCTTTGCCTGTGCCTCCCAAGTGCTGGGATTAAAGGCGTGTGCCACTATGTCTGACTATTTCACACTTTATTTTAAAGACATGTTAGTAACAAGTACATATAACTTAGCTTTTGAAATCTTTAAATTACATTTTATTTATTGTGTGTAAGATGTGTGGGTGTGTATCCCACAGCAGAGGTCAAAGGACAGACAACTTCCACCATGTAGGTCCCAGGGATTGAATTCAGGTAGTCAGGCTTGGCTTACCCTGGACAATCTTGCTGGCCCTGAGCTGGCTTTTGTATGTGTGCGAGGTACGTGCACAAACATGTATTTGTATGTGTGCATGTAAATGCCAGATGTCCAGGTCAGCTACTTTCTTCAATTACTCTCTGCTATTCCTGTTGTCGTCTCTTCTTTCTTTGTAAAAGCCTTTACTTTGAGCCTTCACGGAGACTCCTCAGGTACACAGAGGAAAGACAGACCTGGTCGCCGGTTAAGACAACCTGGTCAGAAAACACAGGTGCCAGGAGCTTCAGCTGGAGCTGAACCTGGGGACTCTAGCCGGCAGCAGTACGAAACAGAGGGAGGAGCGGTGTCCTGTTCTTCCTGCTTATCCACTTCAGCAGAACTCACAACCCTTCTCTAGAGCCGCCATGTCCTCACGGACCTACAAAAGTCTCCTTCCACCACGCCCTCACTCACACGCTCGTGAGCGAAGCACACTTGGCATCCGTAATGTCAAACCTGTGACCCAGGCCAGTCTGGTCTTGGCACTGTACGGGGTGCTGCTCAGCCTGCACACAGATCACCGTACCTTGTCCAGGTCTCCACCAGCTACCTCGGTAGAAGTTGGCAATTAAAGCCAACCTTCAAGACAGCAGGTCACAGTCCACATCCAAAATGCTGGTTCACCTTGGTCTCTGCGACAGTGTCTTCGTGAACCTGGAGCTCACTAATTCAGCTAGGGTGACCTGGCTCAAGGGACCCTTCTGTCTCCACCTTCCCAGTGCTGGGATTACAGGTGTACGCCATGGCATCTGCCTTTCACCTGGGTTCTGGGGAACCAAACTCAGTTCCCATGCCTGTAAGGTAAACACTATTGACTGAGCCACCTCCCAGCCCCTACCTTTTTTTCCTTTAATGGGAAAGGAAGGCTGTAGAAAGCAATCCTCCAAAACCTAATTCCTAGAATAGGAGAGATTTTAGACACACATGTCTATTTGCTTACTCTCGCTTCTAACAACATTGGTGAAGCTGGTATACCCACCCATCAAAAACCCCACCCACCAGAAACCCCGCCCACCAGAAACCCCGCCCATCATAGACCCACCCACCAGATGCCCCACCCATGACACACCTTTGCTTTGTGAGCTTGATGAAGAATCTTTAGTGTATCTGAAAGAAAAATGAAACAAGTTCTTTGTTCACACAGATTTATCTAAAACCTCTGTTGTAATTATTAGATGCAGAAACTGAAAAAACTGAAAGCCTTTCTTTACAAACATACCTACTTAAAAATCTGTCCTACTTTAAAAGAAAATGCACTTTAGCAAATTATGCAAAGTATAGGAGGTCAGAAGTGGAGCTCCGTGGTGGACTGCTCACATATGGAGATCCTGGAAGGAAGAAGGGGGGGACCACGGAGAGAAACGGGAGAGGAGGGAAAGGAAAAGAGAGGAACAGAGAGAGAAAGAGGCAGAGGGAGGGAGAGAGATACACAAAGATACTTTAAATCGATAACCTTTTGACACTGAGTGACATGAACACTTCATAATATTTCAAGTAAGGGTCACTTTTGTACTGGGCTTCTTGAGGCCTGTGGGTCAGGCATGCCCATGTAGGTTCAAAGCTTAGGCTTTTCACACGCAACAATGGAGCAGTGGAACCGGAAGTCTGAACAGCAAACACAAAACTCCATTATCTCTTCTAGAGTCACTAAAAGTTAAGAGTAAACAATCAAAATATATATAAATATTAAATGAAGACACAAGTGACAGCCAGGCATTGTGAGGGCCCACAGAGTTGTGAGCCTGTTCCACCTGACTGGAAGCCAGAGAGTTTGAGCTTATTTTTCCTCTCTCAAAGTTATTGACAACAGGTGTGGCTACAAACGAGAGATTCTGACATAGGGTATGGTTAATTAATATTTCAGGTATAGAGATGGATCCACTCCACTTGGACCAAAGGCTGGAGAATTCAAGTCCATTCCTTATATCATGTTAACAAAGTCTGTCACCTCCCTCTCCCCTTTCAGAGTGAAATATGTAAGTGTGTGGAAGATAAATGAGGCAGAATATCCCCCCGATGCTGTTCTGTGTTTCTCTTCCTTATTTCTCTCATATCTCTGCTCTTTTTGCTTAATAATTCTAATTCTCAAGCTCCTACCCTGGAACGTTCGTGTTTTGTCAAAGCTGGTCTTCAACAGGGCATGGTGGTATACATCTTTAATCCCTACATTCAGGAGACAGAGACAGACAGAGCTCTGAGTTCCTAGCCAGTTTGGCTACAGCACAAGTTCTGGCCAAGGCTGCATGGTGGGACCCTGTCTTTAAAAAACAGATACAAGTGAAGAAAAGTACCTTAAAAAATCACTATTCCCTTGAGGCAGTTTAAGGCCTGCAGGTCAAATAACTGGGCTGAAAAACTGCTGCTACCTTCAGAGTTCAAATATTATCTAGGCTCAGTGGTCATGTGAGCATGCCAATGCTCCAAACCCACAAATATCTGTTATTCTTTTTGTGTGTACATGTGTGTATATGGTATGTACATGTGTATGGGTGTATATATGTGTACATGCATGTATGCACGTGTCTGTATGTATGCACAAGCATATGCATGTATGCATGCACATGTGTGTATGAGTGCATGCACATGCTCATAAATAACATTCATGTCGTACGTGCATGAACAAGGAGGTCAGAGGTTGATGTCAGGTGTCCTCCTCTCTGTTGCTCTCCACCCAGTATTTAGAGACAGTCTTCCTCTGAACCTGTAAGTGTTGGAGCTCAGATGGAAAGGTATTTTGGCAGTCGAGAGTCAAGAAATACCACAAAGTCACTGTAAGTTTACAGTTCCGCTACAGAGAAAGGTTTCCTCAATGCAAACTCTGCTCCAGCGGGTGAGGGGGCGGGGTTCCCTGGTGAAGTTGTTACAGCTCTGCCCAGATCCAGAGAAGTGATACAACTGGGCTTGGCTAGGTGAAAATTTCCCCATCAAAAGTGTTACAATTCTGTGCCACTTCAGCTCCAGAGAAAGTTTAAAAATGTTCTACATACATTTCTAATACCGCTGGGCTCTCTCAGGCAAGAGTATCATACCACACAACAAACCTCACTCAAGATTTATTGGGAGGGAAAAGTCCAGGAGGGTGGCTGTCTCTAGCGGGAGAAGCAGCAGCAAACGAAGCAAAGTACAGAGCTTAGATAGGCTTTCTTGGAGGGGCGGAGAGGAGCTTTTCTCTCCACTTGATGAACCTCGAACTCTGAATTCTCTGCTATCTGCATGTGGTTGAAGATGTGAGCTTCCTGACCAGGCACCTGCTGGCATCTTCCTCCACCATTATTACTCTCCATCTGGAACCACCATGCACATAAGCTCTTACGTTTAAAAACATTGTACCCACCCCTCTAACTCTAAGATAATCAGCCCCTAGTTATACAGCAGACACAAGTATTCTGCATACTTAAATTCTAAAACTTTCTGATTCTCTACTTCACTTTCTAAACCATTTAATTACTGTATTTTGATCATAGTGTATAGCTCTATCTGAATAAGCTCTCAACAGTACCACTAAGTTCTGTTCTCCTGGCTATGCTGTAATAAAGAATCTGTAACACTAAATTCCATTCTACTGGGCACACTGTGAAAAAGAATCTGTATGAAAGGCAGGATCTACTGAGCACACCTCAGCGTAGCTAGGTCATCATAAAGTCTGTCACTCAGTGGAGAACGGCACTGGATAAGGGCATTTGTGGCTCTCCTGCCTTTCTCAGGCACCAAGCTGGGACACGGTGCACACAGACACTCATTGTCTTAGTTAGGTTTTATTGCTACGAAGAGACACCATGACTACGGCAACTCTTATAAATGAAAACATTTAACTGGGGTAACTCACTTGGTGCTGGAGGAACAGCTGAGAGTCCTACATCTGGCAGGCAACAGGAAGTCGACTGACACACTGGGTGGTATTCCAAGCACAGGAAACCTCAAAGGCTGCCCCCCAGTGACACACTTCCTCTAACAAGGCCACACCTCCTAACAGTGCCACCCTTTGGGGGCCATTTTCTTTTAAACCACGACACTCATACACTGTGAATTATTCACTATCTTCAACAGTCGGATTGGGGAGAATAAAGAGCTGGCTGTCCAAGCAAGAGAACCTGAGGTCCGTCCCCAGAACCCATGGAAAAGACAGGTCTAGTGGCACTCATCTGTAATCCCAGCACTGGGGTGGAGAACAGTGGAGCCCTGGAGCTCACTGGCCGGCCAAGTCCAGCCATGTAAGTGAGCTCCAGATTCAGTGAGAGATCCTGTCTCAAAAAAAATAAGGCAGATAGTGCTAGAGGAAAATACCAGAGGTCAACACACACTTGCATATATGTACATGCCCCCACACATATGTATACTCACAGGTACATACACAAACATACAAGAGAGAAAGACGAGCCCCATGGAACTGTAGCTAAGGATGGCTCTCAGCAGTCATGTCTGTGCTGGGAATGCTCTAACTCCTGAGAAATCCCTCCAGACCCTCATGAGAAGCAAATGCTCCAGCAGGCTCAGCAAACCTACAATAGCAAAGCTACCTTTTCTTAGCAGGACAAAAACACTGTGAGTTGAAATTTTCACCCAGATTTTTCTCTTCAATTGAAATTGGCAAAACCAAAGAAAGTAAAGAAAAAATGTCACTTCCTCTACAGTGAGAACATCACTCATTCTGACTTTGGGGTAGTTTGTTGATTTTGCCTGGTTTTGATTTTTATTTGTTTGTTTGTTTTTTAACAGGGTCTCAAGTTGCCCAGGCTGGTTTTGAACTTGCTATGTGGCTAGTCTCTGAACTTCTGATCTTCTGCTTCTAGCTCCCCAAGTGCCGGGATTACAGACAGGCTTATTTTGACTTCTTTTAAAAAAAAAATCTCACAAACCACTTTATTAACAAAAATACTTCCTTAATAAAAACTCCTTGAAAAATGCAATTTTATAAACATATTATCCCAGGGCTAGGGAGATGGCTTGAGGGTGTGCACTGATCTTTTGGAGGACTAGGAACCCAGGCTGGGTGTCTCACTATCACCCGTGACTTCACTTCAGGAGATGCAAAGCTCTCCTCTGGCCTCCACAGGAACACACACAGAGACACACGTAAATAAAAATACATCTTTACAAACATATACAAATGGGGCTATGAAGATGGCTCAGCCGTTAAGAGCACCTGATGCTCTTGCAGAAGATTCAGGTTTGGTTTTCAGCACACAGGTTCTGGCTCACAACTGTCAATAACCCCAGTTATGGGGGATCTGGCAGTCTCTTCTGGCTTCTGTGGACAGAGTTTACACATGGTACCGGTATACACACAGGCAAACATTCATATATGTAAATCACTACAACAGAAAAATGGGGTTCTAAATGTTTAAAATTTTAAAAGTAGTAATATTTTTAGTATATATTTGTAGTATATATTTGTAGAGTATTTAACATGCTAGCCCATGCATTTCATACTGCACCCAAAACACACCAGGCTAGCTGGGTGTAGTGCTGCATACCTTTAATCCCAGCACTCAGGAAGCACAGATATGCAGATCTTTGTTTGGGGGCCAGCCTGGTCTACACAGATAGTTCCAGGTCAGTCTGGGCTACAGAGAAACTTGGTCTCAAAACAGACAAATGAACAAACAAACAATAAAATCTAAAGAACCACACACAAGGTTTAGCAGAACACAGAAGTCATAATGACTTTGTGTCCAAATGCATCGTAGCTGAGTCCCTGGGACAAAAGGCTCAATCTACAGCTGTAGACTGTGTGTCCAAATGCAAGACAGTTGTGTCCCCGGGACAAATGGCTGAACCAACAGCTGTAGATTTTAATTAAATAGGAGGAGGGTCTCAGAAACCAGACACTGCTGGCCGTAAAAGTGGGGCCTTCACATAACAGCAGAGAACCAATCAGCAGCAAAGGGAAACCTACACTGCCCCCCATTCCTCACACAGTGCACAGTTCTGTCCACAAGACAGACGAGTACCAGACGACCATGGTAGAAGCTGGCACCAAGCCGTTCCTAAGCGAGAAAAAGCAGAAGACTATTTCTCAGCCAGACCAGAATCATCTGTATATTTCTACCCCAATGAGACTTAGCAACCTAGAGTCTCTGATGGTTACACTATCTTGTTTATATTGTATGTGTGTGTGTGTGTGTGTGTGAGAGAGAGAGAGAGAGAGAGAGAGAGAGAGAGAGAGAGAGAGAGAGTCAGAGAGAAGAGGGCCAGAGAACAATTTCAACTGTCCTTCCTTGGGAGCCATCCACCCTGTTATTTATTTATCTATTTACTTACTTATTTATTTTTGAGATAGAATTTCTCACCGGCCTCACTGGTGATAGAGCTCACTGGTTACGTTAGGCTGGTCTGGTCAGCAAGCCCCAAGAACACACCCGTCTCTACCTCCCCAGCTCTCGGACAATAAGCAGGTGCTATTGTGTCCAGCATGTTTTACGAGGGTTTGGGGGACTGAATTTAGATCCTCATACTTGTCCAGCAAGCACTTTACCAAATGCGCCATGGACATCTCCCCAGCTCTGCTTTCTTTGTTTTAGATGTTACCTTTTAAAAGAACTGACATCGCACACTTTGCCCCCCTCTCCACGCAACATGCAAAAAGGGAAACTATGTGTAATTTGCAGGTGGATTCAAGCTTAAGATTTCGAGATTCTATTCAAAGCATCCTCCTTCAAAAGCTGTGAAAGCCACAATTGAGAAGTTTCATATTTACCTCAATCACGCTTTTTATTCCTTTCTCTGCTTCAATATTGAGTATGTAAATGCTTGAGGTCTCATAAATCAAAGTACTTTCCACTCAGTGCCTCTGCCTCCTGCCTGGCTGCCTCTGCGACCTCACAATTAGACTCTGGGTATTAAAATGCAGGCACACGTAGATTGTGATTTCGAAAGATTGTAGGTCATTGGTTGCCCTATCAGATGGGAACGGAATGAAAAGGCACTCTGGAAAATGACTTAAGGTGATAAAAAATTTACACTTTCAAATGTCTGTGCTAATTAGCAGAAATATTTATTAGCTGCATTGTAACTTCCAAGCAGGGTCTCAACTCCAAGTCTGCTCAGTGCCCTCTCCTGAGATGAGGGACTGGATGGTCTGTCTCTACAACAGATAATGGCTCGCAGCCTCCGGCTTTACGACTGTATTTTCACTTTTTATAGTATTTCACTTATTTTGTGTGTTTATGGATGTGCATACATGTGTGCCAAGGCAGAGGGCAACTGGTGAATTTAGTTCTCTCTTTCCATCATGTAGGTCCCAGAGTCTGAACTCAGGTTGTCAGGATGGGTAGCGGGTGCTTTTACCTGCCAAGTCATCTCACCAGCCCTTATCTATTTATTTATTTGTTTGTGAGATGGGGTCTCAAGTGTCCAAGGCTGGCCTTGATAGTTTGTTTTATAGCTAAGGATGACTTTGAACTTCAGATCCTCTTGTCTCCACATCCCAGGTGCTATGGAGCCACCCATTTTACGCAGTAGTCGGGATCTCACTGGGGGCTCTGTGCATACAAGGGAGGCATCCAAACAACTGAGCCCCACCCCCAGCTTCTGTACTGGATAATTAGGTCACTAATTGCAGCATATAAAACAAGCATGTTTGGCTGGGTAGTGGTGGTGCATGCCTTTAATCACAGCACTCAGAAGCAGAGGCAATGGATCTCTGAGTTTGAGGCCAGCCTGGTGCACAGAGTTAGTTCCAGGACAGCTAGGACTATTACACAGAGAAACCCTGTCTCTAAAAATGAAAACAACCAAAAGCCCCAAGCATGTTCAACTCACTGACATTTCAAATGCTACACCACTTCTTTTGAGACAAGGTCAGATGCATCCCAGGTTGGCCATGACCTCCATATATAGTTGAGAATGATCTTCAACTTCAGATTCTCCTGTCTCACCTCCCAACTGCTGGATTACAGGTGTGCACCAGCATGCTGGATTACAGGTGTGCACCAGCACACAGGATTGCAGGTATACATCAGCACACTGGATTGCAGGTGTGCGTCAGCACGCTGGATTACAGGTGTGCACCAGCACACAGGACTGCAGGTATACATCAGCACGCTGGATTGCAGGTGTGCGTCAGCATGCTGGATGACAGGTGTGCACCAACACACTTAGTTTTATTTGGCTCAGGAATGAAACCCAGGACTTCCTGAAACTGTAAAATCTCATGATGGAGCCACATCCACAACCTTAAATGACTTCTTTTAATTCGTAGTCCCCTGCCATGTTTTCCTCTCTGATTACTCAGGAAAGAAAACCTCATTTATAAACAGTTTTGCCAAGCATGCTATTCGTCACAAGCATGCTACTCCCCTACACAATTACAATGGACTTTCATAGCATGCTATGACTCCTATATTCCTTAACAAACTTCCACACTGATATATGCGTGTATGTATACATATATATAACATATATATTGCCAAAGACCCTCAAAAGCATCTCTGATTCATATGCAAAGCAAACATTAATGATATAAAAATAAAAGTGGCTCACACATGCATAACAGTCCAAGAGTGTATGTAGATATCATATATATGTTAATGTTGGGATCAACCGGGGTCTTGCCCATGCTAAGCAGATTCTTCAATAAGCTATGCCTCCTGCCCCCCCAAAGCAAGTTAATATTTGATCACCACATTTAAATTCATGCCAACAAAAATAATTCTGTATCGTTTAAAATAGTATGAACAATTGGTTACCGTATTTGTAATTTCTGAGTGGAGGAGGCAGGCTGGTCCTCAAAGGGACATCTGCAAAAGAGAAGGATGATTTTTCATTTCACAATATTCAGATAGGATGCCGAGTCTTTCAGTCCTGCTCTCTAAGAACCACGGGCCAGATTATTTCTCCTTTTCCTTTCCTTAAGCAGGGTCTCACGCAGCCCAGGCTGTCCTTGAACTACATGTGTAGCCAACAACATCTCGAACTCCTGATTCTCCTGCCTCCACCTCCTGAGTGCTGGAATTACAGGTGTGTTACCATGCCCAGTTTACAGCATGAAACTCAGGGCTGTATGTACACTAGGCAGGCACACTCCGGACTGAGCTATATCTCAAACTACAGACTAGGATAATTTTAAAAATTAGACAAAATGGAGCTAACGCCGTACTGAAATCCAGGGGCCATCTATTATAACGAAACCATCACCGAGACGCTGAGCTGGTAGCCACTGATCCAAGAAGTCAGAGGAACTAAATTGGAAGCACGATTGCTGGGAATGGTGAGAAGGCTCAGTCAGAAGTAGCTGCTGCATAAGCCTGAGGATCTGGACTTGGGTCCCCAGAACCCACAGAAAATGTCAGAAGATGGTGGTTTACTTCTGCATCCCTAGCCCCAGGGGACAGAAGGGTCCAGAAGGACTCCTAGAGACCAGCAGTCATCCTAGCCCAGTAAGTGAGCTTCAGCTTCCGTGACAGACCTTTCCAAACAATGAAGGTGGAGAATGAGCAAGGACAGACATTGGACATTGACCTCAGACCTCCACACACGTGTGCTCTCCTAAATGTGCACCTGAACACGCATGTACATACATGAGGTCCTGGGTTTCCATGCCAGCGCTACATAAACTGGGCATGGTGATATACATTTATAATCTTAGACTTGGGGAAGTTAGGGCAGGCAGTGGATAAGAAGTTCAAGGTCATCTTTGATTCCACAGAAAAGTTTGAGTTAGCCTGGGCTACATGAGATCTTGTCTCATAAAAATAAATCAACATTTTTCTCAAGATTTTTATTAATGCTTATTATGTGGGGGGAGGGTATACACACATGACTGCAGGTGACTTCAGAGGCCTGGGGGTTGAAGTCCCTGGAGCTGGAGTTTCAGGTAGTTGTGAAATGCCCAACATGGGTACTGGGAGCCAAACTTGTGTCTTCTGGAAGAACAAGAAGAGCCCTTAGCCTCTGAGCTGTCCCCCCAGCAGTTTCTAAAAGACAGATAGTATGTAGGCTAGAAGAAAGGGAGGTAGGGAGAGGGAGGGAGGAGGAGAAGGGAATCCACGTATTTAATGTTTTGCCGCTGATGGCAAATCAGAGGGCGTACTCCCCGAAAGTGATCAGGAGAAGAATTGGCTCTGATGTTACAGTTATGTGGAGACACAGAGACGGGGTCATGGCCAACACACTTTCTTTGTATCTGAGCTCCACTGTCGTGTCCACTGACACCCCCGTGGGTACTAGCTCCTTGGATGTTGCTATAGCCATGCTGCTTGACCTAAAATGGCTCCATTCTCTAATTCATAAATCCCTGAATATTAAGGCACCATGGACTATCTTCTCACGTCTTGAGCAGAGGCCACAGTCTGCTTCTCTCACGTGTAGTTGCTATCCAACAATCACCTGCAGTGTGTGGCAGGCACTCAGAAACCCTTGAAGGAGAAACACCGTAAACCCCTTCAACTGGCAACTGTGAGCACCAAAGCTCCAAGGAGGTAATTAGTGAGGCCCGGTGGTTGTGGGCTAAAACATCTTGTGCCAAAAATGAAATTCTTAACATACATGCATGTGCACACATGCCAGGAATATCATCTGAAAACCAAACGCCAGGGCTACAACAATGTAAGCAAGTTAATATAAATACAAACACACATACAAATAAACTCATTATTAACACAGACAATACAGAAAGCCCAACTCCCTGCTCTCCAACTGTAGACTGTGCACAGAAGGAACTTCCGAACCATGGGCCCCGGGGCCGGGCCTGGACTCAGCTGGTGGAGTGCTTGCCTGGCCGGATGAAGCTCTTGGTTTGATGTGTAGCACAACACAGAACAAAAAAAGTGATCTACACCTGTAATTTGAAAATTTAGGAGGTGGAGGCAGGAGGAGTAGATGTTTAAGACCATTCTCAGCTTCATAGCCAGTGTGAGAACAGACTGGGGAGAGTGAGGCCCTATTTCAAATACGGGGGGAAAAGCAGAAAGGGAAACCAAAAGTACAGCCTGAAAAGAGGGGGGGAGCACAACTTTACAGAGACACCGTGTCCCACTGTGGGGTCCACACTTAGGCACAGAGCATGAGGAAAGCGATGTCCTCAACAGGGCATGAGGAGGATGACGGGGTCTCCACGATCTGCCCCCCATGAAGCTGGAACCCCACCTCATAGAGACTTCCCAGCAAACTCGAACCAAGGAGAATCCTTGCATAGGCCAACAGTCTTCAGGACTTCCAGAAGCATGCCAAGTCTGAGTAGCTGTCAGAGCCAAGAGGAGCCCGAGGACACCGACAGCCATGGACCCGGTAAGAGGCCGGCTAGCAACACACTTGCCACACAATCCGGATGACCTGGGTTTGATCTCCGGGACCCGTGTACAGGCAAAAGAAGAGAAACGACTCCACAAACTTGTCCTTTGACACGACACAGGTGTGTGCACATACGCACACACGCATGCGTGCATGCAGACACACACACTATACACAACAACAATAAAATAAGGTTAGAAAACAAAATCATGATAATGAAGTATAAAGTGGGATCCTGCCTGGAAACCTTGAGCAAGAAAACAACAAACAAAAAAAGAAATAGGAATAAATTTTAATCAATGCTGGTGTGTTTAACAGTTCATAACTGTAGTCAATGTCAATATAGTGTTCTAATGTACAATGTTAAGAGAGAAAACTGGGGGTATTAAATGCAAAGAAATAAGTAAAGATAAAAAGGAAATGTTGGGGCTAGAGAGATGGCTCAGTCAGCAAAGTTCTTGCCACATAATCTTGAGTTCCCAAGGCCAATAACAAGCATCCATGTAAGGAGGGGTGTGTGGCTTTGTGTGGTTGTGACCCAGCACTGGGGAAGTGGAGCCAGGAGGACCCTGGCCAGCTAGACTAGCCAGTGAGCTCCAGGTCATACAAGGAGCGACTCTATCTCAAACAACAAACAAACAAAGAGAGGGTAGGAAGCTGGAGAGATGGCTCAGTGGTTGAAAATGCATTCTGCGCTTGCAAAGGACCAGGGTTCAGTTCCCAGCACCCACATCACGTGGCTCATAACAGCCTGTAATCCCAGTTCCAGGCTGTCCAGCACTCTCTGGCCTCCATAGGCAACTGCACATACACACACACACACACACACACACACACACACACACAGTGCACACAAACTCATATCGGTGCACACACACATAATAAATAATCCTTTTTTTTTTAAAGCAAGGTGGATGGCACTTGAGGAAGGACATCCAAGGGTGATCCAGGAGGATCCATAGGGCACTTGCCCCATATACATACATACATGAACACGTACCAACACAAACATGCACACACATGCACTGGGGAAAAAAAAGAAGAAAAAGGTGAAAAAAAAATGTTTCAGTAGCAAGGCTATAGTGCCCCCTAGGGAGAGCAGGCCGCTTCACAAAGCAATATCACCAGGAGTAAAGGGATATGAAGAAATCTTCAGAACCTAAAAGTTGGACATAGCCATCATAATTCGTCACAGAGAATGACCTAATGTTCAGAAGTAGGATTTGAAATCTTAGAAAATATTGAAATGTTTCTAAATCAAAGACTATTTGAAATATCATCTCATCTACATAATTGGCTTCTGCACTGTTATGATGCTGCTTTAGAAAACCAGCCATTTACATACGGCATCATGGTAGTTCTATAATCAAAATATGAGATCAACGAGACCTACAGCTGAAAGATCCCGGGAGCTGGGCGTGGCTAAGGACTCCTATATAAGCTTCCCCTGAGCACAATAAAAGGGGCATTGGCATTCTTGTATCAAGGATGACCCGTGTCCATGTCTCTGTCTCTCTGTCTGTGTGTCTGTCTCTGTGTTTTTAAGTCTCCAGCTTAGTTCCCGGCTCACGTACCATCTTGCAGTGGCACGGGCACTACGGGACCATCAGTTTTTACAGGACGGGAACAGGACTTTCGGCTTTTAACATGTGGCCCCACCAACTTTCCAGAGTTCTCCGGGACCTCAAATCAGAGGCAGGCTTGGGAAGAGTCCACAAGCTCAAAAGAGTCCATATCCTAAAGGGTCTGCTTTACTTTGTTCCTCTTACCAAGCCTCCTGTGACACTAGCCGGCCCCAAACTCCCTAAGAAGCTAAGACAGACCTTGAGCTCTTGACTCCCCCGCCTCCACCTCCGAGCCCTAGGATTACAGTATGTGCCACCATGCCCAGCTTGTGCGGAGTTTAGGATGGAACCCAGGCAGGGCCTTGGGCATGCCAGGTCAGTACTCCACCAACTAAGGAACGCCCCTGGCACCCCTAGTTCACTTCCACAGCTGAACTTTCCCACACACGGGCAGTGATCATGTCATTACTGGGGCAGGCCTGAGGGTCTGGCTGTGACAGGCACCACTGGTCTGCTGGGGACAGTGGTAACCGACAGTCGCTGTGAATGGATCGTTCTGTGGTGCAGGGAAAACACCACTTCCTGTACCACCATAGCAACTTGAAAATCATATCTCATCCCTGAGGACGTCAAAAGGGTCCTATTCTGCCTGACCAAGAACACCAGGCCCTTGCTGCACTGAAGCCAACAGCAGAGTCCTTCGCCCCTGTGAAGCCTTGAGCACACAGCCGGGGGTGACTCAGCACCTGCCACCAAGTCTGACATCCTGCGTTTAATCTCTGGGACCCACATGGTACAAGGGGAGAATGACTTCCTCCTCCATACACATGCTGTGGTACACACATGAACACATGCACAAGCAGGTTATCATGCCCGTGAACATATGTACACACAGAGAGAAAATAAATAAAATGTAATAAAAATGCTAAAATGATTTGAAAGTA